TTCTGCTCAAGTTTAGCACGCTACCACTTGAGCCATACCTCCACTCCCAGCTTTTTGGTAGTTAAGATTTTAAAAAGTCTGACTGACGTTTCTGATCTAGCTGGTTTTGAACCTGGATCTGTAGATCTCAGCCTCCTAAGTAGCTAGGATTACAGCTATGAGCCACCGGTATTTTGGTTTCCAGTGCTCTTCGAATGTTTGTTGGGCTGACAGGCCAGTGTACCGGATCCCATCTTATGGGGGGTCCCCCAGGGAGCTGACAGGCGACAACTAGTACCCAAGGTGTAGAAAACATGGCCCTCATGTTCTCTAATACCCGATCTTTGTTTTCTGTGTCTGGAGGCCCTGCAGCTGCCTCAGGCCTTTCTCCCTTAGTAGCATGGAGGCAGGGGAGGGGCTGACCGGCTGGCTGAAGTCTGAGCTGGAGTCAGTTGGAGTCAGCGCTAAGACCTCAAGAGGCCGATAGATGGCGCTCAAGGCCCAACACAGCTCTAACAGCCCAAGGAAACCTAAGGAAAACAAGTAAGCAGGTTAACCCCTTCCCCACTGGGTTCAGGCAGAGGAGCAGACTGCTGGGCAGCAGAAGGCCCCTTCCCAGCCCAGGGGACTCAACTGAGTAGCCTCTTTCCTAAGCCACAGCCAGGCTCTTCTCTGGCCTCACAGGACTCTTTTCAAAAATTATCACCAGTCAGTGCCTCCATGATTTCCCAGATGGCCAGGCGGCTAAGAAATGGCTAAGTCTGGTCAGAAGGGCCCATCCAAGCCTGTGTGTTCTTCTCTTACCTGCCCCCCTCTCTCTTTCTTTTCTTTCTTTCTTTCTTTTTTCTTTTTTTGCTCAGTCATAGGGCTTGAACTCAGGGCCTGTGTGTTGTCCCTGAGCTTTTGTGCTCAAGGCTGGTTCGTTCAAGGCTGGTTCTCTACTACTTCAAGCCACAGCTTCACTTCTACTTTTCTGGAAGTGAACTGGAGATAAGAGTCTCAGGGCCTTTCCTGCTTAGGTTGGCCTTGAACTGCGATCCCCAGATCTCCTGAGTAGCAAGGATTTCAGGTATGAGCCACTGGCAGCTGCCTTCCCATGTATTACTTCCATGCCTATACCTTGAAAAAAATCTTTGGGCTCTGGTTTTAAGCACCTTCACTTCAGGAGAGTGCCCCATTTTCATTCCCCCCCACCTGATAGGGGCTCCCCAGGTGAGAAGCAGCATAGCTTAGAGGGCCCCACACCCATTTGGGATGGGAAAATTTGCTAGGTACTGCCAAAGCCTAGGTTTCTTTTTATATCTGGATTCTCTGTTTCTAAGCTTCATGGAGGTGTATAGACTTATAGGAAGGAGTTGTTCAAATTTTCCAGGAAGTTGAAATTATGGGGAGGGGAATAGTGATCTCATGAGATCTCTGCCTGTCAATCTTTTAACTTGTATTATCCTGCTATGGGTAGACTTGGGGTGCGAAGGGGCTTCTGAAATGATAAACTGAAAATACTGCACATGCAGGTAGCACAGGGATGGGCCTATGTATTATTTATTTATGTGTTTATTTATGTATTTATTGGTACCAGTACTGGGGGTTGAACTCAGGGCCTCGGCATTGTCCTCTTACTTTTATGCTCAAGGCTGGTGTTCAACCACTTGAGCCACAGCTCCACTTCTGCTTTTTGCTGGGTAGTTGGAGGTAAGAGTCTCATGAATTTTATTGCCCAGGCTGGATTCTTTATTGGCCTGAGCTTGGTCTCCAAGCTTACTCTCATTTCATTCTTTCCAGAGAAAGAAGAGACAGGGAGGAGATATACCCAAAGGAAGATAGATATACAGATACAGAGAATGCTATATGAGAGACTAGAGCTAGAGATAACTTTACTTAGGCAGAGATAAGCAAGGATACAGAAAGATGGTGGGGGGGAAGAGATCTGGTACAAATTAAAATTCAGGGCTTCATGAGGTGGATGATTAATTCCATTTCTGAATTCTTGCAAGGGTGGGGGTGGTTTCTCACCTTGGTGTCAGGGGTCACTGCTCAGCCTTCCTGAAGCTCCTGTTGCACCCACTAATGTTTGGTCTGCTGATAGAAGAGCAGAAGCCTGAGAAAGGGACAGGATTGTTCTCTCTTTCCTCCCTAATCTTGGGTTCACTGGCCTCCTTCCCTATTACCCACAGGAAGCCCTTGCTTCTGTGACTGGGCTTAGGCACGTGTGCAGGGGTGGGGGTGGGGTAGAAGAACACTAGCCTTAGGAGGCTTCCAGCCTAATAAAAGTCTTCTGAGCTGGTTGCTGGTGGTTCACACCTGTAATCCCAGGTACCCAGGAGGTTGAGCTATGAAGATCACTGCTCAAAAACAGTCAGGTGATGGAGGGATTGGGTTGGCAGGGATGGGAGAGAAGGATATGACATCAAGATGCATTGTACTTTTAAAGGGATTTGTCAAATGTAACCCTTTCATAAAACTACTTCAATATAGTAAAAATATAACAAAAAATACCCAGCTGGGGCAGGAAAGTCTGTCACACTCTTAAATACAATTAACCACCAAAAGGCTGGAGTTATGTCTCAAGTGGTAGAGTTCCAGATTTTAGTAAAAAAGCTAAGGGACAGTACTGGCAATAAGCAAATAAATGTCTTACAGTCAGGACACAGAAACATCCAGATAGAGGACAACACAAGTAGGAGTCGAACCACTTTGGAAAATGGTACTGGGATGGGGAAAACAGGGAATCAGACAATTAGGTGTAGGTTAGGATTTTTCAGGGAAGGCTCCCTGGACAGCAAACTCTAGAGCGAGGGTTTGGAAAGATGAGAGGTGTGATAGGTTTACATGTCCACTTGTGTGGGCTCAGGGACATCCAGGTTGTTTCTGGATTTGTCTGTGAGAGAAATTCTGAAAGAGCTTCTCATTTGAATTGGCAGACCAAGTCAGTCTCACCATCATCCGTGGGAGTGGGCATCATCTAAGCCCTTGCGTGTTCTGGAGACAGGGTCTAGTTATGTAGCCCAAGGTGGCCTTGAACTGATGATCCTCCTGCCTCAAGCCTTCCAAGGTCTGGGATAACAGTTGTGTGCCACCATGACTTTAAGTTTTCCCTCTTTATTAGCTGAGATATTCGTCCCTCTTGCGTGCAAAGATGTTACAAGATTCATCCTAGTGGCCTCTCAGGCTTTGGGATTTACATCAGCAAACTTCCCTGAAACCTATCCAACTCAAGACCAAACCACATCCACGACTCTCTTGGTTCTCTAGTGTACAGGCAGTAGATCTGCGGACTCTGGGAGAACTCTGCTTTCCATACTCCTGTGAGTCAATTCCCATAATGCATCCCCTCAGATGGATAGATAGGTAGGTAGGTAGATAGGTAGATATAGATAGATAGATAGATAAACTTTTGGACCCTATTTCTCTGGAGAACCCCAATACAGGAGTCAGTAAGGCAGACAGCAATGCAGAAGAGACCAGTCCAAACGGCAAAGCTGTGGAAGGCGTGGACAGTATCCGAAGGATGTTAGCTGTCCAAGAGTAGATGTCAGAAATGGCACCCGCAGGGTTGCACTAGTCCGGTACCTGCGACAGGAGGGCTAGGGAAGCCTTTAGCCACTGTCCATACCTTCAGATGGGTCAGGGACTGGGTTCGGTGGAACAGCGCTGCATCAACTTTAGGATTCACGAGAGTGACATCTCACTTCTCAACTACTGTGTGTGGGGTTCTGTCTGGTTCTGGGGTATGAACTGGGACTTTCCTGCCCGGGCTGGCTTCGAACCTCGATCCTCAGACCTCAGCCTCCTGAATAGTTAGGATGACAGTCGTGAGCCACCGGCGCCCAGCTAAGACTTCATTTAGTCTGGACAGCAAGCATAGACCACAACTCACAGCGACAGAGCTCATTTAGCGCGCTTTCCGGGGATTGGAGCGTTTCCGGCGGAAGTGGCCACTTCCAGCTAATCTCCTTCCCTAAGTAATGGAGACTACGACTCCCAGAGCCCTTTGCGCAGGAACCGGAACCGGAACCCGCTTGTGTTGCTGGACCAGGTGAGGGCGTTGGAGGCTAGAAACTGGGGCGTCGGGGTCCTCCGGGAGCTGACGGGGTGCGGGCCGGTATAGAGAGGGTCGGGCTTGCGGGCTCTGTTCGGAGCAGGCCCCAGTTTCGAAGAACCTGCTCCAAGGCCTGCGGGATGGAAGCAGGTGCGGGCGGAGATCCGTGTGGTTCCAGACCCTCAGAACCGGGAGTGCCGGTCCTAGGGCTTGAACTCATGGACTTTCTGGCCCAGACTGGCCTCCAGCCACGATCCTCAGATCTCAGCCTCCTGAGTAGCCAGGATCATAGGCGTGAGCCACCAGCATCGGGCTCAGGAGGGCCTTTTTAAGTTTATGTTTTTGTATTCTTTACTGTGCCTGTAGATTCTTCCTCCAAAGCTTTGGACAGGAGTATGGATATTGTCTTAGATTTCTAATAAATTGCCTTGAATTGTCAGAAATTATCTGTCTGTCTGTCTATCTGTTTTTGCCAGTCCTAGGGCTTGAACGCAGAGCTTAGGCACTGTCCCCGAGCTTCTTTTACTCGAGGCTAGCACTCTACCACTTGAACCACAGCACCACTTCCAGCTTTTTCTCTTTATGTGGTAGTGAGGAATCAAACCCAGGGCTTCATGCATGCTAGGCAAGCACTCTACCACTAAGCCACGTTCCTAACCCTATTTGACAGTATTTTATAAAGTGTTTTTCTTTTTCCTTCAGTACTGGGGTTTGAGTTCAGGGCTTCCACTGGTTTGACAAGCTCTCTATGACTCAAGCCGGTCTTCTTGCTTTATGCTGTTATTTGCAGATAGAATCTTTCTAGCAAATATTTCATTATAGGTTTGAGCCACTGGCACCCATCAAGCCTTACATTTTTTAAGCCTCTGGCTTCTGGTGCCTTTAGATAGAACATTGAAGTTACTTCCTTTGGGCTCCTGTAATGTTTTGATTTTAAAACTCAAATTATGCAGTATTACAACTAAATTGTTTTATCTTACAGGATAAAATTTTTAAAAAAGCTTGGGCCACAATTTGAAATTCATCAGGAGAGTGCCACAGTAAGTCTCATAAATATTGAAAAAAAATATACGATAACAACTAGTGGTAGGTTTGTGGAATATGTAACTTTTTTTTTGGTCATGGGGCCTGAACTCTGGGTCTGGGTGTTGTCCCTCAGCTCGTCAGCTCAAGGCTAGGAGCCAAAGCGCCACTCCAGGCTTTTTCTGCTCATGTGGTGCTGAGGAATCAAACCCAGGGCTTCATGCTTGCAAGGCACGCACTCTGCCACCCAGCTGGAATATGTAACTTTTATACAGAGAAGAACTCAATACCATGCTCAAGAGAACCTTAAGAGATGTCTTGCTATCTGATTAGGCTTAAAACTCTGGATCAGGAAAACAGCCTTACCACTTTTGCATACCCTCATCTTTGCTATGTCCACCACCAGACAGACGCAATATAGACTTGTGAGGAATCTGAAGATGGAACAGCTGAATCTCTAATGTTGCTGCTACATTAAAAAAAAGTACAAAGCAAGGTCCCAGTGAACATCTAAGTTTGCCAAACTTTCCTTTCCCACTTTCTTATGACTACAGGTGGCCCTGCACTGCTCAGTTAAAGACTTCTTAGCTTAATCTGGGAAGACCAGATTGTTATTTTTCTTCTTCTTCTTCTAGGATCAGAGAATAGGTTGATGGATCAAGCTGTTGTGTCAGTATTTACACAGCAGTCTCAGCTGGAGGAAGAGGCTACTTTTGACCTGAACTGGAGATTGAGAAGGAGAAAGAACAATGGTCCTTGTCCTGTGGAAGGTCCAGCTGTGATAGAAACACATCCAGAGCCCGACAAACCCTAGAAAACAAACGGATCACTAGGTAAGCCGCTGAAGCTTGAGTGAACTCAGGGTACAGAAGTTGGATGTAGTGGTTTGTACCTGTATTCCCAGCTATTTGGGATGTAGAAGCAAAGGGATTAAAAGTGTGAGGCCAGCCTGTGCAATTTAGTAAGACTCAGTATCAAAATAAAAGACTGTGACTCTAGGCCCCGGTTTCTTATACCTATAATCCTACTCAGGAGGCTGAGATCTGAGGATCATGGTTTGAAAACTAACCTGAGCAGCAAAGTCTCTGAGACTCTTATCTTCAATTTAAAATGCCAAGAAAGGGGCTGGGAATGTGGCCTAGTGGTGGAGTGCTTGCCTAGCATGCAGGAAGCCCCGGGTTCAATTCTTCAGCACTACATAAACCGAAAAAGCTGGAAGTGATGCTGTGGCTCAAGTGGTAGAGTGTTAGCTTTAAGCAAAAAGAAATTGAGGAATGCATAGGCCCTGAGTTCAAGCCTCCAGGACTGGTACAAAAAAGACTGTAGGGCATTTGCCTAGCATGTGTGAGATCTTTAATCTCCAGCACTGCCAAAAGTAAACATAAAAAGGAAAAGTAGAGAGTTGCCTGTCACAAATGTTTCCTTGTAGGGCTAGGACTGTAGCTCAGTGGTAGCATGTTACCTCATATGCTCAGAGACCTGGGTTTGATTCCCATCACTTGGAAAAGAAGCGTCTTGGCGGAAGGTTATTTTATGCAGCTGATTAAGGATGGATAGAGCTGAGTACCTAAAAAGAGCTAATACCTTAAAGATATGGAGAGAAATTGAATAGGGCCTGGGCTCTGATTTGCCCGAATCTGGTTGTGAATTCACAAAGAAGCCAGTAAAAAAAACCGTGGTGACACCCAATGGCTCTTAGCTTTCAACCAGCTGAATCACCTTGTGTAAACTAGACACCTGGCTCCACAGTAGATCTTGTGTGCATGCCAGTGACATTTTATCATTGTGACAGACACCTGAGAAAAACAAGAGAGGAAAGATTTATTCTGGCTCGTAGTTTCAGAGCTTTCAGCCCATGGCCCATGGGCCCCATGGCTGTAAGGCTTGTTTTGAGTGAGGCAGAACAAGATGGAGAGGGTGTGGTAGGGCACAGCTGCTCACCTCATGACGACCAGGAAGCACAGAGATTGAGGAGGGGGAAGCGAAGGGGAGAGGGAAGGGTTAAGGACAAGATATCCTCTTACAAGACAGACTGCTGGGGATCTGTGTTCTCCAGTCAGACCCCCAGCTCCAAATAGCTGAGGTTAGGGTTAGCATCCTCATGATCTAATCATCTCTCAATGGTGCCACCAACTGGAGACTAGGGGCCAATCAACTTGAGAGCCTTTGCGATAATTTATACCCAGGTTGTGATATGTGGGGCCAGGTGGGGGATGTTGTTGGGGCTGGTTTGAGCTGCATCTTTATGTGTGTGTGTTACTTCTGAGACTTGAACTAAGGGCCTGAGGTCTGTCCCTTAGTTTTTTTTTTTTTTTTGGGTCCGGTCGTGGGGCCTGAACTCTGGGCCCGAGTGCTGTCCCTCAGCTCTTCAGCTCAAGGCTAGTGCTCTACCACTTGAGCCACAGCGCCACTTCCG